GAGCGGGAATCGGGCCGGTGTGGGTCCCCATGCGGGTGTGTGTCTGTGGGGACCGGACCCGTTTGGGTCTTTGCGGGGGGGTTCAGGAGCTGGGACAGGAATGGGCGCCGGGGTCAGTTCGGTTTGGGGCAAGTGGGATGTTAATGGACCGAGTGGGTTCGGGTCGAGCAGTAGAGGGATCCAGTCGTGATCTGAGGGGTGGGATAGGAACTGGATTGGGGCCGGGGTTCATGCTCTGCACTTGTGCCCACAGGTGCTGGCAGAGAAGCGGAGCTTGGGCAGTAGGGATGGGCCCCCACACCTCGTGGTTCTGGTGCCGCTGCACAGCAAGGCTGCAGCCCACAACACCCTCCGCTTACTGCAGAGCCAGGACTCGGCTGTTGTCCGTGTGGATGAGGGGAAAGCCGGTGGCTTTGCGCTCCTCTGCCCCCGACTCAAGCAGCGCTGGCGCTTTGTGACAGCAGAGGCAGGTGAGGAAACACCGTTGTTGGTGTGGTTCTTGGCTTCATACCCCTGGCAGCCTCGGTAACAGAGGTGTTTTGTGTGCAGGGGACCTTCATGCTGTCTTAGACCTAGCAAAGGTTGCCGACTCCCTCCTGTTTATCTTGGATCCCGCAGATGGCTGGGACAGCGCAGGAGAGCACTGCCTCTCCTGCCTCTTCGCACAGGGGCTCCCCAGTTATGGTGAGAAACATCTAGGGCTTCTGGTGGGGCACAGGTTGAGAGGGTGCTCGATGGGGATTTGCTGTTGCAATAATTAAAAACTCCATATGTTAATATGTGACCACAGGTCTTTGTTTCTGAGCATAGGCCAGTTGGGTGAATGCCATTCTCATGGTGTCTTGTGCTACTACGCTGGTGGAGGAGTGCTGGAGATAAACAGGGTGTTCCAGGTTTAGACTTCTGGGCGTGTGGTGGTGGTTAGCGGTGTAACGGTTATTCAGGCCTGCAGAGCGAAGGGGTTCAGATGCTTTCCTGTTAAGTTCAGTTCCTGGGTCCTTATCTCCATGGTCTTATTTAGTCTCAAAAATCTTACCTCTAAAGACAGGATTTTCTGTCCTGATTGTTCTTTTGAATGGATGAAACTGCCTTTGTAACTTGTGGTGTGAATCTACGGTCTGGTTATTTGGGTTGCTGATATCTGACTTTGTGTTAATGCTTGGTAAAAGGGGTGTAAGAAGATTTACCGTCTGATCCTGAACTCTGTTCTGTGCGCTGCTTGGTAGCTCTTGCTGTCCCGGGGGGCACTGATTTGCCACCTAAGAAGAGGATAGATGCCAGGAAGAAACTTGCCAGGGCCATTGAGAAGCGCTTTCCCGATGCCAAGCTCTTCCCCCTGACCACGGAGCAGGAGTCCTCGCTGCTGCTGAGGCACCTTGCCACCCAGAAGCAGCGGCACCTCGCTTTTCGGGACAGGCGGGCTCACCTGCTCGCCTATGCTGCTGAGTTTGTCCCCGGTGAGGAAAGCGACCTGGTTGGGACCTTGAAGGTGTCTGGCTTTGTCCGGGGACAGACCCTCGACGTGAACAGCCTGGTGCATATTGTGGGGCATGGAGACTTCCAGATGAGCCAGGTCGATTCACCCCCTGATCCCCTCTCTTTGAACCCCCGAGTGATTAAAGGACAGAAGAGGAGTCAGGACATGGAGGTACAGGTGTGTGGGAGGTCAGAACTTTGCCGGTCCTGGTAGAACATGAGATTTTAAACTTTCATCAGGAAAATACAGCTGGGTGTATGTGGTCAAGGGGAGGGGAAAGGGAGTTGTGTCAGAGGCAGTAGGGTGGTGTTCTGCTGCTGAGCTGAGGTTCTTTGCCCACAGCACGTAAGGAAGGTTACGTTATGACGTAATGAACGTAGGGTGGTGTTCTGCTGCTGAGCTGAGGTTCCTTGCCCACAGCACATAAGGAAGGTTACGTTATGACGTAATGAACATGATACTGAAGGGAATTTCGCTTCGGACTGGCTGCCGCCTTCAGTTAGGTGTATTCACAGCTGGGAACTCTGCTCTTGCCCTCCAGGATGACTCTGTAAATGGTACTGATGAGATGGAGGAAGATGTTAAGGTCCTGATGAAGGCAGATCCAAACAAGCAGGAGTCTTTGCAGTCAGAAGTGGTTCCTGATCCTATGGAAGGGGAGCAGACGTGGCCTACTGAAGAAGAACTGCAAGAAGCAGAGGGTGAGTAGCAGCAGTATTTCTGTACCTTTTCCTTGTCCCTGTTAGGAGGGTTGTTAGAAATCTTCTGTCACTAAGATGGCTGAGGGTGGCTGTGAAGAAACGTGCTAGTCGGGAGCCCAGGGCTTCCATTCCTCGTCCCACCACCTGACTACTGGGCTGTGTGTTGTGCTTGGCAGTTAGCAGGGTTACGTTTTAACTGCATTTTCTGCACCCTGACAAATTCTGTGTGGACTTGTCCCTGTTAGGAGGGTTGTTAGAAATCTTCTGTCACTAAGATGGCTGAGGGTGGCTGTGAAGAAACGTGCTAGTCGGGAGCCCAGGGCTTCCATTCCTCGTCCCACCACCTGACTACTGGGCTGTGTGTTGTGCTTGGCAGTTAGCAGGGTTACGTTTTAACTGCGTTTTCTGCGCCCTGACAAATTCTGTGCGGGAAACGGCGATTCTGGTCTAGAGCTGATCTTG